CACAAAGGCAGATTCTACAGGTCAGGAGTTCACGACCGGACATTCAAACTCTTCTCTCCTTTCCAGAAAGGCAGAAACAGGTGAAGCAAGTGAGGTACTATTCTGCACTTGTAGGTCTTGGCCCCCCTCGCCTCACCTAATCCTCATGTTGTAAAATCCTGCCTTTATATAGAATACTGGTAACTTGTTCATCGTGGATTTGTTTTGCTATGATTTCAAATTTTAAAGTATCACTTATCTTGAGTTTTTTGGTGTCCTCTTAAGTTTTGTGCCTGAGGCGACTGCCTCCCTTGCCTAACCCTAGTCCAGGCCTGGGAAGAAACCAGCCACCAGCTCACTGTGAAGTGGTGGGTGAGGGTTCAACAGTGAGGAATCTGCACTGTCTGTGATACAAAAGAAAGGCTAATCTTGCACTGCAGAATCAAGGCTCTAAATACACAAGGAGCTTTATCTCTGTAAAGCACAGAAAGGACAGGCCTGGCTGAGGAAAATAAAGTCAGAGGCCACTGCAATCTTGATGACAGCTACCTCTTTGTAGTACAAGGTTATTAACACCTGGTCATGCTTAACTCTAAGTGCCCATACTCTAGCAAGTCATTCCTCAGTCTGAGAATCCGACTTAGAAGAGAACCTCAACTTAAGAAACTGAAGACAGATAACACGCATGGTTAAAAAAATAATATAAACCTTACAGACAAATAACAAGATAGTCACATCTCAGGAAATAACTCACAGGTAAACTTTACAAACAGTTCCACCTAAACACTTTAAAAACAAAAAAAACCTACCGGAAAAACAATTTCTTTTTCTAAGAGTAATTGTTAAGCACATCATTTTCTTCTGTTCTTAAACTTAATTAAATCTGAGGACAGTATGTCTCAACCCGTTACAACTTTCTACCTACCTGTGACTTCTGACCCCCAAAGACCAGTCTATGTGCTGAGTTTCCTGATTTTTAGAACCTATGTCTAGCCCTGATGGAGCCCTGGTGGCACGGCAGTTAAGAGCTCAGCTGTTAACCAAAAGGTCGGCAGTTCGAATCCACCAGCCACTCCTTGGAAACCCTATGGGGCAGTTTTACTCTGTCCTACAGAGTTGCTATGAGTAGCAATTGATTTGACGGCAAAGAGTTTGGTTCGGGTCTAGCCCTGATGTGTCTTACACATCGTGAGGCTGGGTGACACATGCAGCACAAGAGTGAGAAGAGAAAGGTACAGCTAGGAGAGTGGGGGTCACTATGCAGATGCTCGAGGGTGCTGCTCCCATGGCCTCAGTTCCCATATGGCAGCAGCATGGGTCCAGGGAAGAAGCCCTGGATTTGGGAGCCAGGCGACTCCAGCTCAAGGTTCCACAGATGCTTGGCCTTGATCAAGTCCCCAACTCTGAACATGTGCCCACAGATGCGAGCAAAGCAAAACACCTATCCAATCTACTTCACAGGATGACTACGGAAGTCACATGAGACAAATCACTTCTGGCAACTGTTAAGTGCTATGCAAGTTTAAGCCATTCACGATAGCTTATAGCATGACTACTTCAATATGATGAAAAGATACACCCAGGAGATAAATAAGGCTTTTGTATTCACAGTGCGTCTTGCTCCCAAAAAGATCAAATGAGGTATACCAAGCCACGTGACAGAAAAAAAGCTAAAGATCATACTGCCACACACACCAGGCAGAGCCCTAAAAACAACTAGACTTGCTTCAACTGGTATCAGAACTGCATTAATTTTTATACCAGATGTGTCTACCTCTTTCTTGTAGAGAGGTATAGAGTTTATAGATCTACACTGATAGAGAGGTAAGACAGGTTTTTTTGTTGTCAGCTGCCACTGAGTCAGCCCTTGGCTCATGGCAACCCCACGCAGAGCAGAACAAAATGCTGCCCAGTCCTGCACCAGGTTGCCGATTAGACCGTTGAGATCCATAAGGTTTTCACTGGCTGATTTTCAGAAGTAGATAGCTAGGTCTTTCTTCCCAGTCCATCTTAGTCTCGAAGGTCTGCTGAAACCTGTTCAGCACCACAGCAACTCACAATCCTCCACTGACAGGTGGTGGCCCCACATGAGGTGCACTCGCTGGGAATCGAACCCAGGTCTACTGCATGGAAGGCGAGAATTCTACCATTGAACCACCACTGCCCCCAATACAAGAGCAGAGATCTATAAAAAGAAAGGCTCCAAGAAATAAGGTCTCTTACATTACAATAAAAGATTTAAGTATCTACTAACATGCCAACTCAGTAGACGCCCCTGTAACCAGCCACAAATGAGAGAAGAGAAAGTAAGGAGAAGGCTTATCAGAAGTGTTGACACAACATAAACACGGACTGTGGGCACCAAACCAAAGAAGGAAATCACAATTATACCATTCTTGATTTGGATGCACTTCCACTTTAAAACTTCCGGACGGAAAACTTGGTGGTGAGACTTGACACTGAAATCTCTCAAACTCACTCTTCCGACAGACCCGCTGAAAGGTGGGAAGGGAGGGCAGTCATCACACAGGAGACAAACCTTAAAATTAAAGCTCTCTCTGCTGAAAGTTTCCCCATCACTGCATTTTTTTCAGTAACAAAGATGTTGTCAGAAATGACAATTTTTTGTGTTCCCTGATGATGCCTTACTAGCATTTGGTTATAAGCCATAAAGCAAGAATAATTTCAGCCTGTCAGGAGTCTCGCTAATGCCCAGTTTCCCCCTAGAGAGAATTCCTGTCAAATCTAATGAGAGCTCCAAATGCCCTCTCTACAATATAATGAGCACTTAGGCCATGCTGGTGATCAGGCGGCAAAAAGCATCAATTTGAGCCTGGCTATACCCTGGGGGCCAGACGTCACCAGTTTTAATAAGAATTATGATTACTACCTACACCAAATGCCTCCTCAGAACTTATTATTAATGTGTGACATTCAGAAGGATGTTTTTCAAATGTAAGGCCACTTTAAACTGAATTAGAGCACTGCTTTGCACACCACTCCAGTTAAGGGTCTGTCAGCATTTATAACATAAACTAAATTTCAGGGGGCTTAATACCCTACTATAAAGAATATGGTGCCTGTCTCTCAGCTTTTCACATTTGTCAAATTACTGAGACAATTCTACACAGCAATGTACTGATGCACACAGGCTCAGGGACAGACACTATAGACCCACAAATGCCTGATGGAATACAGGAACTCATTACAAAACTATTTCCACACCATGAGGCTTCTGGAGTTCTTTGCTCTTTCTTCCTAATCAATAAGGACAAGTAAAGGTCTCTCTGCCATGTAACGAACCCAGAAGAATTACACACCTCCTTTAGTGCCCCCAATAAATCCAGCACCAACATACTACATTACAGGGTGCTGTTCCCTTGTAAATTAGTCAGGGAGCTTATTAAATCCTTCTGAGTTAATGAGCTTAAGAGAAAGCTCAGTTTCCTCTTATTCTTTCAATATATCTGTTACCAAAAAACTGCCTTTTATATTAATTTTTTTTTAACAAAAAAAGCGACAAGTTAGAACTCCTAAGCCAAGTTTATTTGCATGATTCATTTAAATGACCAAAGCTTAGCCATAGATCTTCTAGCTCCATACCTATCAATGAGTTACAATTACCTCAATAGGGCACTAGCCATTTAAACACACAAAAACAAAGGTGAAACCCAACGCAAACTAGGTTACCAACTCTGCAAATCAGAATAACATCAGCTTTTTAAAAAGCTCAATTATATTACTAATAACAGGCCCTGAACTTAACTATCTCCTTCCAAACACATATCTGAGAACACATCTAATGTACATGATGATAACTTAACTTTATGAAATCTATGATGAATTAAAAATCAAAGAGTGCAGAGTTACAAAAGCAGAATTCAACTCTGAAACATACTTGCTTAATGAAAGTCTTTGAATATAAGGAAGATCTGAAGGCTGAACTAATCAATTTCTCCACTGCGCTCTAGCCGGTCAGCCATGCTCTTTAATTTAATGAAACAAGGGTTTCAGATGAAATAGCACATATACATCAAGTAAGAATTGTATTGTTGCACTTTGAAATGTGTCCAACTGTGCAACTTCATCTGATGATAATTTTTTTAAAAGGCAATCGATTTCTAAAAGACTTATTGTACCAGCGTCTTGATGAAAAAGTGAATGTCAGCATATCTCCAGAATACTTACACCCTGCCATTAATGCTTTCTTTGGCAGACAATGACTACTCAATCAAGGGTCCTTTGGGCTGAGCAATCATTTAGCTTTTTTTCTCTTATGAGGTCCTTAGTGCCTTGTTCCAGCTCAATACTCTTTTTATACACCATTATAGTAGCCGTAAGTGTGAATTTTATGGGAACTTGCAAACTCATAGTCATAGCCAGAGCTTTCCAGTCACTAATCTTTTCATGCTTTTAAAACCACTAGGACTAAAGCAACTCCCAACATATGCTGTGACCATAAAGAGATGCTTTTTTCATCTCCAAACCGGCATCAACTGAGACATTTTTCAAAAGGACGTTTTGCTAATAAGCCACTGAACCCGGGTGTCTCTTTATGCAGTCCCAAAGCACCAAGAGAACTCCAGAGTTAGTCACATACCTTGTTTCAGGCAATTACAAAAACTCTTTGAACACCCTCCTCGCCCCCACAGGTCCACATTTCTTTTCCAAACCAGGACAAAAATAGCTATTCTGAACTTCAGCAACTCTAAAGGATACCCAGAAATTTCAAGAGAACAATAAATCTATCCCGATGGAAAAACAAATTCAGAGTGTCAATTCCTATCTGCCTATAAACAGATAAGTTTACATTTCCTAAGCACCTCTCATCCACTCATTTAAACATCCTATAACTGTAAAGAAATAATCCTTGCTGCATAATACTACACCAATTCACAGGAAAGGGAAACCAAGGCAGAAAAATGGATTCCAAACCCCCCCACTACTGAGGACAAAGCCAGTAGCGTAACATCATAATGAACTGATTTCTCATTTCAGCTTCATATTTAACTAAAGCTTACCTGTTTATGCATTTCAATGTTTAATCCATATGACATTTCATAATACTGTAAAGAAAAAAAAGCATTAAGCATTTCATTATCTCACGTTCTTGTCATGCTAAGAGCACATATCTGCTTTTATATGAAAAAGAAAAAAGCCCGAACTTTGATACCTACCATCACATAGTGCCTCTGCATTTCTGTCTTTTCACTTGCCAGCTTCTCACATTCCAATTTAAGACTAGAAAAACAAAACAGGCAACTTAATGTAAACATTAGGTCACTTGTTTTAACATCTGCTTCATATATTTGCAGTTCAAGTAAAAACACAGATTAATTTAGAAAAGCCATAAACTATCTAGGTAAACACCCAAAAGCTTTGTCCTTGCATTTAGTAGGGAAAAGGAATAAGGTGAACAACACAAACTATCCATTCAGAATGCTACCATTCTTTTTCTTCTTGGCGCATACTTGGTCACAGGTGACAAGATGGAAAAACCCATCAAAACCTCTGACCTACCCAGAAGACTGATTCTCCCTCACGGCCATTTATTCACTCCTACTTCCCTGCATCAGACTGCTTCTCTGGATTCCACCAAAATCTGGCCTTTGCACGATCTTCAGTCTCAGAAATAGGCTGTTACCTTAGCCAACTCAAACAGTCTCTAGTTTTAAAACTCTACCTGTAAAGTTTTTCTACAATTGTTGGTTCCTTTTAAAACCTTTGGTTTTGAAATGCCTGCCAAAATATGTAAAGTAGCTACTGCAATGAAGTGGGTTGAAGTTCTCCCTGCTTAGTAAACTGGTGTGTGCAGGTATGCCTTAGGTTCTAGAGATATTATCTGCTAGCAGACAAAAGGTCAATATCCAGAAAGCCCCTGAAAAAAAATCAGAAAATTCACACCCAAGCCACTTAGCTTAATCTGTGTGCTTTCTCTCACATACTACAAAAATAAAAATTGTCATTACACAGTTATTTCTTAGCTCCAATCAGCTAAGACTTCTTAAGAGCAAGGCAAGAAACGAACATTTCTGGCAAGTCCACTATGGGTCAGATACTTTAGAAATAGTTTTCACTTATGAATCATTTGAAGGCAGATATCATTAAATAAAGAAACTAAAGCTGAGCTGGACATAAAGGTGTGACTCCAATCTCCTATCTTGTGCAAACCTACTAAAAATGATGCCAAAGCAAATGAGTTTTCTCCTACACACTACCCCCTCTCCCACCCCCCATCAACGCCAATGATGGGCATAGCTAGAAGTATCTAGCCTTCGAGGATGGACTTTGCCTCAGACAATCCAATTCCCTAGTAAGACAAGCAGTGATTTCAACACTGGCTTTGCCTCCATGAACCCGCACTCCAGGGCTAAGGCATCGATTGAACCAATGTTTCAGCTGAGCCTATTGCAAAATAACTAAATGAAGTGCAAACAGTGACGGTTCTCATGCAACTCCTAAATACACAAAAAAGAACTCCTTGGAACAGCAGTAAACGGGCAAAAGGGAAACAATGGAAGGAGGAGGAGACAAGAGAAGAGGCGGCCTGGGAAGAACCAGGAAAGGAGGAAACGTGAATGACAGGTCTTAACTGCGACTCCACACGCCACCGCCTGGACACAAGTACTAAGTACAGCAGCCGCCACCGGGCTGGGCGAGGGGCACCAAGACGCTGAGACGGACTCCTGGGCGACCAGTCGCCCGGCGCGGCCGGACACTCACCTGTGATACTGCGCCTGCAGAAACTGGAATTCCTCCTTGATCCGGTCCAGAGACTCCGGGATCGTGAACTTGAAGGGCTGGCCTGCAGCCTGGTGCGGCGTCTGAGGACGAGCATCACAGTGGGCCGAGAGATAGGGGTGCGGGCAGTTAAAGTAGTAAGTCAGAGCCGGCAGGAGTGGATGAGGCATAAAAACAATAATAAAGTTAGAAGTGTCGGAAAACGAAGCCCCGAACTAGACTCTGTGTTTCACTTTGCAGAGGGGAAATAACCACTTCCCCGGCCCCCAGCTTCTAAAAAGGCTCAGAGCCTCTTCCAGCCTTCAGGGCTGGTGGCAGTAAGTGCGCCCGGGTCACATGGACAAAGAAGGGGGGCTCCCGGAGGCCGGGGCGGACCAGGTCAGATTGTCGTCGTCGTCGTCCCCGGTCCCTCTTCCCCCCAGGGGCGATAATGACCCCGGGGACCGGAGAAGAAAAACAACTCTTACGTTCCCCATTCCCAGAATCGCCGGGGCCACCTCCGGGTGCGCCGGAACGGGGGCCGCATTGACATGTAAATAAGCGAGTCGAGAAACAAAGGGGGGCGCCCCCACCCAACTCGGAGAAGAGGATGTGGCTGCGGCAGAGAAACCCCAGCCTCCCCGGGCGCCCCCCTCAGCACAGTCTAGACAAATAGAAGAAGACCGAGAGAAAAGGGGGGGAAATTCTGAGTTTCAGCCCACTCCCCACGCTGAGGAGGGGATCCGGGACCTCCCTTGCCTCACATTCGTAGGGGCAAGGGGTCCGCTAGGTTGCAGCAACTACTCATCTCCCTATAACAAGGGAACAGCGCCTCACACACCCACAATCCTGCCCCAACGTTCCCCCCACCCCCAACCGGGCCGCGCCTCACCGGGTGCCGGCTCTGCGGGAACATCGCTCTGGCGGCGGCCGCGGCTCTGTTCCTGGGCAACTGAATTCTCCGCTCAATTTCCAACTTTAATCCTGCCGAAGAAAATTAAGCCGGGAAGCCAGGCAGAAGCGGGAAACGCAGGGGGCGGGGGGCGCGCTGGCCACGCAAGCAGCCGCGCTCAGCGGGGCGCACCCGCCACTCGGCGCCAGCCGCTGCTCCTGCTCCCGCCGGTGCGGGCTCCCGGGAGCGCTCAGGGCCACATCGCGGGCGCCCTGGGCCCGGCTCCTCCAAGAAGCTACGCGGCGACGCCGGCGCCCGGGGAGTGGGCACAGGGGTTGCGTTCCAACCCGCTGTCCTTGACTGCTGGGGAGGGAAAGAGCGGGGACGCGGGGACTCCGGCCACGCTCCCCTCTGCGATCTGAGCGCGCGGCGCCCGTCCCGGGCAAACAAATCCAGGCGTGTGGCTTTTCTTTGCTTTTCTCCTGGTCCGCCTCCCCTCTGGATTTTCCCCGCAGCGGCGGCGGGCGAGGTGCAGGTGGCGCCCCGGCTAACCCCACACAAACACACCCAGCGACGATCGTGGCCGACCACCGGCTGCGCCTTTCCGCCGGACGCTCGCGAGCTGCCGAGAGGCGACGGGAAACGATGCCGGGGGCGCGGCGGAGGCTCCGCGCCCTGCGTTCAGCAGCCTCAGCCCAACCCGGGGAGCGCGGGATGACGCCGAGGCGGGGAAAGTGCGGAGGGCGCGCCGGGAGGCGGCTCGGCACGCCCCTTGAGACCCGCACTCGGTGTTTTCTGCGGTAGCACAAACCTTCCTGGCCCGATGGGGCTACTCCGCGGAGGGCAGCCCTGCAGCCGTCCGCTGCTCCTCCAGCCCGAGGCGCATCCGGACGCCGCGCCCAGCTAGCAGTCGCTCCTCCCGGCTGCTCTGGACCGGTCCTCCAAGCCCCTTCCTCGGTCCTCTTTCTTTCCTTCCCTTCGTTTGCCTCTCCGCAAAGGGCGCTCCGGCCCGCTGCAAAGTTCTCTCACGACCCCGGGGACGACATCCACGAGAAGGCGAGAAGAGCAAGAGTGCGCTCCGCCGCTCGGCCTCCCTTCTCCGCGGGCAAACTCCGCGGGCGAGTCCGGAGTAGTCGCGGCGGCAGCAGTCGGCGGGGTTTGCTCGCCGTGGGCCTGCGGAGGTCCGGCCTGGTGGCGCGGGTCCTGCCCGGCCGTCAGGGGGAGTGGGGGTGGCGCAGTCGGCCGCCTCGGGGGCGCGGGGTACCCGACGCTGCTGCTCCTGCAGCCGCCGCAACCCCCGCCTCTCGCGCCGGTTACATTAACACGCGGTTTCACACTCCGGAGCTAACCAGCGCCGGCCCCGCCCAGCTCCGCGCGGGCGGGGAGCGCGAGCTCGAGCCGGCGGGGGACGTGGACCCGAGCAACGAGGGGCCGCGGAGAGGCCTGCGTCAGCCAATCGCGTGCGTCGTGCCCAACGTGGGGTGCTGACGTAGAACCTCCCTGGAACCTATGGCAGCGCCGCGCCGGACGGGCAGTCCCCGTCTCTCCTCCTTTCCCACCCCACTCGCTTCCATCTCCGCCGTCTCCCCCGTCTCCCCCCACCCCCGCTCCTCCTCCGCCAGCCGCGTCCTCCCGGGCTCGGTGAGGAAGTGTTCCTGGAGGAGCCGCGGGACGCTGGAGCCAGCCAATGGGAAGCGGCGAGACGCGGAGATTGGCACTGAGGATAGGAAGGTCGGTGGGAAGGAGAGCGGCGGGGCCGGGTTGTCAATCAAAGTAACGTGGGGCCGGTAAGGGAGCGCGCGAGCGTGCGCGAGCGGGAGGGACTGGCGAGCGGGCAGTCGCGGAAGCTGGGTGCTCGAGTTTGCAAAAATCCTGCCACTTGTTCACTTTTTCCTTCAATGAAAATCCTCAGATCTCAGTGAAAGTAACTCGGAGACTAACAGCGTAGCTTCCTATGAGGGGGGAGACGGGAGCTCTTTGATATTTCAAGCCAAACACGTCTTTCGGTGCTGGCCCCTTGTTTGATACCGTTCTTTTGAAAGTGAGGTCACATTCAAAGATTTCTGAGGTTTGTTTTTTTCTGAAAGCTGGCTTTCACGGATGTGCGAGGAAAGGTGGACTGACTGTTCAGTTGGGGGAAAAGGCATAATGGCAACGCTTTGGCTGGCGTAGGTACACCTGTCGCGTAACGTTTACCCTTCTTTGCACCCAAAGTTGTAGGATTTGATTTTTATTGGAGGATTTCAGACACTTTGCAAAAAGGTCGACCTGCCTTCGTTTGGCGGGAAGGATCCGCAAGGTGCCGCCAGGGCAAGGCACGAGTGTCCCAGGCGCAGATGCGATGCTCTGCCTCGGACGCGAAATACCGGTTCCTTGCCCTAAAAGTCCTGACTTCGCGATGGTGGTGGTGATGGTGATGGTGGGCGATCCGAGAGTTTTTGGAGCCTCGCAGCAACATGACTACGAGCCTGTTTCCAATTCCTGGGAACAAAGGGAGACAATGGAATAAACCAGCCTTGAGACCTGAAAAACCTGTCCCGCCCACCACACCGCCATAGTTTGGATGGTACCCGGACTGATCTGTCTAAGGAGCTAAATAGGAAAAGTTGGGTAAATGGCATGGCTAAAATTCTTACGAGGTGAAACTTGGCGTTAAAAGGGATTTTGAGGGTTTTTGTTGTTGTTGTTGTTGTACTTTAGACGAAGGTTTACAGAACAAACAGGATTTTGAGATTTTTAAATAAACAGAGCATATCGTGTAATTAATATTGAGTCTCCAGTTTTTCCCTATTTCTCTAAATACACCACACAGCAGAAAACCTTCAATGCTGCCGTATTTATACTTTTAACGAACAGTTCAGTTAAGCTATTTCCACATGATCCATGAGTGAATAATGCTGTTTTAGCCAAATAGTAGTGACTGCTTTCATGAGAAACACCCATCTTTGACAAGCATTCATCTTATGTTACCTAACAAATTTGAGGTATTAATAACCCCACATTCCCATTATTTTACTTCTAAGAGACTTATGGGAAGGCACGTGTCTAAACACATATATTCAAAGACTTACAAAGGGTTGTGGTTTTTTTTTTTTTTTCCTTGAAATAGTCATAGAATCATTTTAGGTAATACGTTTCACTGATAAGGTCGTTTTAGGATATGTTGGTACTGATTTATCCATAATTGCATCAGTTCTACATATCCATTATAAATGAAAAAATAAAAGTGATGTTAGCCAGCCTGTATAAGGCCATAGTACATTCTTAAACAAGTTCAGCAGTGTAGCTTTGCAGAGCTCTGTTTCAGTGGTTTGAGGGAGAGGGTTATATTCTTATTCTTTAGCTAACTGTTAACATGGAGAAGGAAAGAAAAGGAAGCACTGCCTCTCTTCCGTTGGTTAAATTCGGTGAGGAGAAGAGCAGACTTGTTCCACATACAGAACTTTTTAAAATCATAGGATCCATGAGCAACTAAGCTTTGTCCTGTGGCAAAGTGTGTTCCTTGAAATCTTCATCTGGTGGTGGTGACATATATGCCAAATGTGTGGTCAGTTCATCCCATAATCAGCTTCAGGACTGGGTGGAAAGTGCTTATGTGCCACAGAAATGCCTGTGGGCTCTGGGATAACTGATAGCTGAAACATCTCCCTGGTGAACCCAGTTTTACCTACCTTAACTTGCTGACATCCCGGTAGTTAAGCATACATAAAGAAATTATAAGTGTATTTTGGGACGGGAGCAAAAAATGTTGCTGCTTCTCGTCTCTCCCCACCACCAAAAAAAAAAAAAACAACCAAATCTGTTGCGGTTGAGTCAATTCCAGCTCATAGCAACCCTATAGGACAGAGTAGAGCTGCACCATAGAGTTTCCAAGGAAGGCCTGGTGGATTTGAACTGCTGACCTTTTGGTTATCAGCTGGTAGCACTTAACCACTACACCACCAGGGTTTCCCTCCCCACCACACACCCTTCAAAATCAGTTCTAACACATTGTCCTTAAATGTTCTCTATCATAGCTATTCACTCACTGTTTGCCATGGGTAAAAATTGTGATTTCGGTTTGACTAGTGCTTCCTTACCAGTGGAGTTTAAAACACTAGGCCTTTTGATTTCCTTGTAATGGAGTATTTGGAGAAAATAACAGTGATTTTAAAATTAGAAGACCTTCAATCGTGTGCTTAAAGATGCTTGGTTTACATAAAGTGATACTCATAAGGAGTGTGCCTCTTAGCTCAAGTAGATATAAGAGACCAAACAGGCAGCTTCTGTCCGGGGGTGAGATGGGAAGGCAGAGAGGGTTAGGAGCTGGTTGAATGGACATGGGGAATTGGGTGGAAAGGAGCAGCGTGCTGTCACAGTATGGGCAAAGCAATTAGAGTCACATGACAATGTATGTATGAATTTTTATATGGGAAAAAAATTTAAAAAATTCATTTGTGTCAAAAAAAAATACATGCTTGGTTTTGGGTGGCTTCTTTCTCATACAGAGTATCCTCCTTGAGAGGGAGAAGGCTCTGCCGCTTTTCAGGGTTGTATTTTCTCTGTGATTGTCATGCTGTAATAATTATACTACAAAACTCTCATCAAACTGCATTACAAATGATGGTGTTTAAACAATCAAGTAGCTTTAATCTTATGTTTTAAATAAATAATATGTGTGTAGGTTGCCTACAGTCTGTTTAAAACAAAATAGTCCCACTCATGAAATCCATAATTGTGGTCTTCTGTTTAAAGTCTGTTAACTAATCTTCTTTACCTTTAGCATATTCATATGTTGATGAGGATCTTACATGAAATAATATTAAGTATGCCACTCATAGGAAACTGTCTGAAAAAAAACTACATTTTTTATCTTCCGCAAAGGACACAGAAAGATTGTTAGATTGTTTATTTTGTCATCGATGCATATATGGGTGTATTTCCATTCATTTGCTGCTGATTATCAAAATTTCAACTCACCAATAGCATAAACAAAAACACAGAAAAACAAAACCTTTGCTGTCGAATAGATTCCAACTCGTGGCGACTCCATGTGTCACAGAGTAGAACTGCTCCATAGGGTTTACTTAGCTGTAATTGTTACAAAAGCAGAT